ATTATTACCACTATTATCATTTTGCATGTTGTTTAGTGTTCCTGGCTTCTAGAAGCTAAATGCCAAAAGCTTCCCCCAGTCATTGTGACAATCAAAAATGTCCCCATACAATTCCAAACCCCATCTTTTCCTTTTTGTCTTCTCTACCTGTGTCCCGACTCAATACTTCTTCATTTAATTTTGACCATACTCTCTAGTCTCATCTCCCACCACAATGCAAATAGATATTTCATAAATATAGTTCTGACCNAGTGTGACATCTAACTCTAACTCTAAGTTATTGGTTTATTTATTTATTTATTTATTTTATTTTTTATTTTTAAATTTTTTTTCGTTAAATTTTTATTTTGTCAATATACAATGTATATGATTATTATGGCCCATCACCGACACCTCCCTCCCTAAGTTATTGGTTTATATGTCTGTTTCCTCTATTAGATCATGAGCTTCTCGAGGGTAAGAACTGGTCCTATGAATCTGTCTTTAGTATCTTTAGTATCTAGTAAATAGAACATGTTCCATGAAGGTTTTATGAATAAAATAGGCAGCAAATCATAAAATTAAAACATTTCTGGTCTAGTGTTTACTTATAATAACTTACAAATAATAAAAATTAAAGAATATACAAAATAACATACCTGTTCCATTGATGTTTCATGAAGTTCATTAAGATTCAGGGTATAAATCCCTTCTTCAGCACCAAATATCAAGTACTGATCTGAAATAACAAAAGTAATTCACTAACTGATTTTGATAAATAGGACACTAGAAAAAAAAANTCTGAAATAACAAAAGTAATTCACTAACTGATTTTGATAAATAGGACACTAGAAAAAAAAAAGGGTTTATATAGTTGAAAATTCAGTAAATATGTGTTAACATGAAGAATCACTGTGATTTATAAGCAGTAAATATTTCTTTTTAATTTTAATGAGAAAAAGACATTAGACACTCTAGAGTAAGAATTGAGCTATATGTAAATATCAGTTTCAAAGCAATGAAGAAAATTTTTAGGTAAGGGAGGTTTTGAAGAGTGGAATGCTAGACTCTTCAGTCAGAGGGTGCTAAGGACCGGCAGAGAATCTGCAACTCCTTTTTCTAAAACCCCCCTTAAGAGAGGGTCATGTACAACTGACATACAGAATGTAAATCAAGAACAGCTGATACAGATTCAAAATATTTTTACAAATATTATTTTTTCAGGGCTATTATTACAAGCAATAACATTAAAAAATCAGGATCTGACCACTATCTAATGAAAAGTTAACTAAAATTTGGATACCTGCTAGACTACTCAGTATCTAGAAGATATTGGAAGCGTGGCCACGATCTTACCTGATCTGTGTTTAGGATGATATAAAAGAACAGGTTAAGAACTTCTCCAGACTAAACTGAAGTATGCTGAGAACAAGTTAGAATGCCAAGAGCATTCGGAAACTGCCCAGCATTCAGGATTGGTACTGACAGATTAATGGCGTGAGATTTGTGGTTAGAGAGAACTAGGTTTATTTATTTATTTATTTATTTTGTCCTTTTTTTTT